GCCACCAGGGCATATATATATATATATATATATATATGTATGTATATATACATACTTGTTGGGTGCCAGTGAGTCGATTCCGACTCATAGCACCCTATGTACGACAGAACGAAACACTTCCCCGTCCTGCGCCATCCTCACACAGTCGTTGCTATGTTTGAGCCCATTGTTGGAGCCGCTGTGTAAATCCATCTCCTTGAGGGTCTTCCTCTTTTTCATTAATCCTCTACTTTACCAAGCACGATGCCCTTCTGTGGGAACTGGTCCCTCCTGATAACAAGATTATTAGGGAGAGAGAAGTGCCCCTGCTTGTTCTACAGAACTATCTCAAGCTGGTACCTTAACTCTCTTCCAGGTTTTGGTTGCATTCAACCATATTTTTTTCTTAACATCATCTCAAAGCGTTTTCTCTTGTCACTGTAAAAACAAACAAACAAACCAGTTGCCATGGAGTCAGTTTTGACTCAGGGAGACCCCATGTGTTGGAGAGTAAGATTTGAATCCATATGGTTTTCAAGGCTGTGACCTTTTGGAAGCAGATCACCAGGCTTTCTGAGGTGCCTCTGGGTGGGTTCTAACCACCAATCTCCACTTAGTAGTGGAACACTTAACCATTTGAGCCACCCAGGGGACTCCGTTATATATTCTTCAAAAATATGATTTTAAAGAGTATTTTCCAATCATAGAAATAAATATTCAGTGTAGAATTCTTCTAAAAATCAATAAAAATGTTAGGAAGAAAATTAAAACTTTCACCATCCAGCAATAACCACTTAACATTTTCAGCCTTATTTCTAAACATGCAATCACACTGTATATATTGTTTTGTATCCTGTTTTTTTTCACTTAACATTGTGAATTTTCTTGTGTCATAAAATATTCTACAACATTATGCAGCTGTTTGATTTACCATAAATTTTACATTCCCTCTTGTTTTACAAATTAGGTTTTCAATTTTCACTTATTTTAATAATAAGGGAAATAATAATATATGACTACGTTTTACAAACCTTTTAGGTACTTCTGATTACTTAAGAATGAAATGTTAGGCATTTGGCAAAGTCTGACACCCATTCATGATAAAACTCAACAAAATAGAAGATTTTCTGTTTATTCTAGAAAAACTTTGTGTGCTTCTTATGGATATATATTTCTGTGTGATACATCCAGCTATACTAATTTAGATGATCCCTTTCCAACTGATAGTGAATTTATGTGGGCAATCGCTTGTTTAGATTCCTGACAAACGCACGGACAATGCACTCTGAGAACTTTAGAATTATCTTTAAGTATTCATAGTAACAATGCTAGTAAATATTGGAAAGGTAATGTTAAGTTGTTACACATTGTAAAATGAAGTCAGAAGAAAACCTATTGGTCCAACACTCAGGATATCATTGGTAGCTGTGATTCTTACTTGTGGTATAGTTGAATTGTAGAACTCGTTAAGAAAATTTGTCAGTCACTATGGAACAAATAACAGGTGAGATGGAAGCACAACAGTGATCTCTGATCTCATAAGCCAAGGTGATGTAAGAGAACAAAATAGCCTTAGATTTTTTTTGTTAGTGTAGTCTGTGCTGTAGACAAGATATACATAGAATTAGACAGCGAGCTACTTGGTTACACATTGTCACACTCTTACAAACACCGGATTTGTTTGTTTGGTTACCATCAGGACTAAGTACATGGGCTAGATCACTACTGCAAGGGATAGTAATATTTTTGGTCTGCATCCTGATAGCGTTAGGTATAATAAAATTTATCTTCTATTGTCTTACACACCTAAAAGGCAAAAGAAGGCCTCAGGCCAAAATGTTGACGTACATTGAGTCTGCTCACTCTGGCAATGTGATTTGATGAGAACATCGCTCTTACTTAAGATCCTGGTGAAGAACCAGATGGTATCCGGTGGAAAACCAGAACCGCGAGTTTAAAGAGCCTGCAATGGCCGCCATCTAGGAGCTCGACTAAGTCCAGGTATTGATCATCAATGTATTATCTACAATCTCTGATCAAAAGGAGGGAATGATTTAGAAATAATATTTGGAATCATTATTCCCTGACCTTGAGCATGGAGAATTGTGACCCAGCTGGGGATGGGCCCTCACAGACTCACAGAGACACATCAACTGGGCCCTGAGATAGACAATAGATGGGACATTCTCAGGAATTATCTTAAGGAAGTTTTCACAAAAGCCCATCAAACACAACACAAAAGACTTTCTACTCTTATCTTTCTCCGTTAGCACTTAGTGAATAGAAATTTGTTGGACCAATGAAGACTCTCCTGACTGTCCTTACTGAAACCTATACCAATGATTGTTAAGAAAGACTATTCAAAATGTAGGATCACAGTTTCTAGCCAATCTGTGAAAAAACTAAGCTTTCAATGGTTTTGCCCATTTGTAATGTTAATATATACT